ATGTACAGTATGGTAGAGATATTTGGTAGCTATAACTATAGACTGTAGAGGTAGAAACTCTATGTTAGAGTACAGATGACTATATATACAGTAAGGTGTTGAGTTAATTTAATAATAAGGCTATAGGTAAAAATAGAACTGTAAATCATATATTAGGATATGGTTAATTCATTGTACTTTGGCTGGTGTGAATAATGTCTACGTAAGTACTGTAGTCGTATCCATATCGGATTAATGATGGTCCGCAGTAGAATAGTCTTACTAAGAATAATTTAACTATGTGTAAAATAAGGTAAAAGGTTGCTATGCGGGTTGTAGCTACGAATGCTACGTAAAGTATAAAAGCATGCAACTTTAGATTATTCTGTTAGTTCGTTCTAGAAGTCTTTAGTAGTAGTATTCGGCTAGAGTAGAGCTGTGTGTAGTTAATCTTTGTATAAGATTCAATAAAGCCCTTATTTTTCTTAAATTTAGAATTTCGTGATCGGTATGTATCACAGGCTTACAATTCTGATCTAAGTAAAATCAACTCACACAATTGTAAATTGTTCAAAGGATATATTACAAAAATCAAGAATAACTTGACTTATATCCGAATGAATACTGTTAGATAAACCAAGTTTATGCAATGAAAGGAAATTTAATAAGAAATACTAATTCGTTTGTAATACTTTGAACAAAAATTTATCACAATCTATTTCTATAAACTTAGGTACCTGATTTTTATTACAGTTAGCAATATTTGTTTATTATACTTTAGATCTAAGAAACCGCAAACTGTACTCATCTCTTCATTTATTTTGGCATTGGATTTGTTTGAACTAGAAAGCTATCGTATTGTAACAAAGGGATTTTTAACTTAATTTATTTTGCTATCCATAATCTGCAACTACTTTGTGACGTTCAAGAAACAATTCTACATCACATGTAGTAACGCTTTAATAAATATTACTCAAGTATTACACTTTCAAAATACATTACTACTATAGTTTGATGAAGTCACCAAAAGTACTTTCCCATGAATCTTTAAGAAACTTTCATACTTTCGAATGGTTTTCAATCTATCCTAAGACGTTGAACAATTGCAGCTAACTACTATGAAATGATACGATTAATTAAGCTAGTAAATTTTCGATTCTATACGAAGCAATACATTAAAAGAAAATTTTAGCCGTCCACAGAATCCTGATGAAAATTTTTAGCGAGTCTATTATCAAAAGTATTTCTTAAGTGTTGAAAAATGGATGTATGAAATAAAGTTAGACGTGATTTTACTATATTGTTCATACAAATTTCCAGTTTGACTACCGAATTAGTTCTTGTACTGAATTCATGTGGATCAATGCCATCCTTTCTAAGAAGCTGATCAGCAAAAGCATCTGTTTGTGCTTATGATGCATGAAGTTTACTGCCACACACCTCCACTACTATTTAAACAGTTTCTAAAGCCAATGACAAATAGTTGTGCAGTATCATTGATTGCATTACCGTCTAAACGCCGATTCCAATTATTCTCATCAACTAAAAACAGAAAAGCAGTTCACCTTTTCAGATCTGCAGGAAAAGATAGTGAAACTTCAGCAAAAAAATCATCAAATCACCTGGCTCAACGAAGGCTTTAACTACAACATCAGAAAAGACCACGTAGGCAACTCCAAGAAGACTATTGGTAAAATTGACAAATTCTACCCTCATTGTAGAGCGGAGAAGTTTCCCGGAGAAGCAGAGGGTCCTTGCTGAAAAGAATTCAAAGTTAAGTTCGAACCTCTCCTCTAACCTCCTGATATTTTGAAGACTCTCCTCAAAACGATTTGTCAGATGGAAAGCATTTCTGAGAGAGTACGTGAAAGTATAACTTGGCCTCTATCTTCACGAGCTTCGGGTCCGACAAGAATCTCAACGATCTCAGATTCTTCACCACCTTCAAAGCTCAAGAAGTGCACCCTGAATAACACAGTCAAGCAGATCATTCTCGATCTTCAGGAGACGCTGTACTCTAGCAATACATAGGTGAGAAGCTTCAATTCTGTGCTGGAGAATATGGATTCGCCCAAACATTTAATTGTATTTGCAGCTGATAAAAAAACATATAACGTGTATCGCCGACTCTTTAATGCTCCGAAGATAAACGGGTCTGCTTTAATCAGAGTTGGATATGCGAACGGAACGCGCGATATCTTCTTAAAGCAGCGAGGCGGCCGACTCAACAGGATTAAGGAGACCTGAACGAGGCCCGATGCGAAATTGGGCATTTTGCTAAATGACCTTACGGCATGACAGTTTTTTTATGTATTATATAATTCAATAAAACGACAGCTGATCATAAGTAAAACTGTACATGTTATTCGATGGATTACATAGCCAATAAAATGGTACATATGATATAATTGAATCACCAAGTGCGCATTTTGGGGTATGTCTAGGTGTATACCAGAAAAATCATATTCCAGCCCTTGAAATTACTCAAATTTATTGCAATTTAATATACAACATAATAAATTACATATGGAAATTTCTATTTTCAGTTAGTGAACATGAAACGTTTTTTGCAAAAAATAAGGTACACTACGAAGCTACTTTAAAATTTTAGCGATAATGCTAGGCTACGCGTGTTGCATAATGTTAAGATTGACCTTAACATATAAATGCCATATAGAT